GAGTAGTCTTTCCTCATCCTAGTAATGAAAACATCCCATTACACTGGGGCTCTAAAGAAATCACCTCATTTCATCATCGCAACAATCTCGTGAGTCGGGAGACACAGCCCCCCATCAGAAGTGAGGAACCTGCAGCATTGATCATGAAGCAGGACTCCAACTAAACCCAAGCATCTGCCCACAACCTCACGCTGCTCTACATCTGATTCCACAAGCCATGCATGAAAATCAACTTCAGCAGCGTCTAAGTATAGAGATAACACGACAAAGTAATCAATTAGTTGCATTTAGTAAATTAGTAAATTCTTCGAAAATTATTCCCACTTTTACCAAAAGATTATTTTATTCTTTCCCCCCTTTTCCCTTCTACTAAATAACCATACTGTTTTACAATTTTTATTGAAGTATAATGGAACTACCATAAAATCCACCTGGTTTTAACTGTTGAGTTAGATGAACCTTTTTTAAAAAGATTTATTTATTTATTTGAGAAGGAGAGAGATAGCGAGAGAGAGCATGAGTGGGGCAGAGGAGGCAGAGGGAGAGGGAGAAGCAGGCTCCACACTGAGCAAAGAGCTGGACTTAGGGCTCCATCCCAGGACCCTGAGATCATGACCTGAGCAGAAGGCAGACACATTAACCATCTGAGCCACCTAGGTGCCCCTACTTGGATGAATTTTAATGAATCAAACAGCTGCGTGTGCAAACTTCACAATCCAGTTTGGGACACTTCCATGGCCCTAAAGACTTTCCCGTACCCATTCACAGCCAATCTTGGCTCCCACGTCCAGACCCAGGAAGCCACTGACGGACTTCCACATCTAAGGTTTGGTCTTTTCTAGAAATTTCAAATAAACATAATCATGCAATGTACAGTTTTATGCAACCAGCTTCTTTTTTTTTTTTTTTAAGATTTTATGATTTATTCAACAGAGAGAGAGAGAGAGAGATCACAAGTAGGCAGAGAAGCAGGCAGAGAGAGAGGGGGAAGCAGGCTCCCTGCTGTGCAGAGAGCCTGATGTGGGGCTCAATCCCAGGACCCTGAGATCATGACCTGAGCTGAAGGCAGAGGCTTAACCCACTGAGCCACCCAGGCGCCCCTGCAACCAGCTTCTTTCTGTTAGCACCATGTTTTTGAAGTCTTTGGTTTTGTCGCGTGTGCCAGTAGTTCATACTCTCTTACTGCCGAGTAGTACTCTGTCCCATCGACACACCACCTTGTGTTCACCCATCCAGCTGCTGGTGGGCGTCTGAATTGTTGACTGTAGCATTATTCATAATAGCTAAAAACTGTAAACAGTCACATGGAAGTCTGTGTAGACATGTAGTTTCTTTTCTATAGGGTACTTAGGACTAAATTTCCTACATCATATGGTAGATATATGTTTAACTTTCAAAGAAGCTGCTAAACTTTTCCAAAGTGGCTGTATTAATTTTACATTCCCACCAGCAAAGTACAGAGTTTCCACTTTCTAGACATCTTGCCAACATTCAGGACAATCTTTATTTTTTAATTTATATTTTAGCCAGTAAATAAAGAAAACACCCAGTCTTTTCCTCCTGTGTTTCTGCTTCACTCTCACACCACACTCCTACCACTCTGGACACTTCTGGTCACCAAACACGTGAAGCATTTTCCCCACACCAAGCAGATCTCTGCATTCCAGCTAGTTATCTGGCAATTTACCTCAATTCTGACACTGTGTCCCTGGAGACAGCACCCGAGTCCACAAAGGGCTCAGGTCCATGAGACTGCCTCTCTTGCCCCCTCCAGGTACCAATGGCAAGTAGGTCTCAGGCTACCCACAACTTCTGTTCACCTTGGCTACAAATCAAAGGTTCCCACAACCCCTTCCTTGGGTTTACTAACTTGCTAGAGCGGCTCTCAAAACTCAGGGAAACACATTTACCGGTTTATTATAGAAGGATATGATGAAGGATAGAGATGAATGTCCACATGGAAGATGGGAAGGGCCAGTATACAGGGCTTCCACACCCTCTTCAGGCAAGTCACTCTCTCAGCACTGCTACCTATTTATCTATCAACCCAGAAGCTCCATAAACCTCAAACATTTTAGGGCTTTTATCACATAGCCATGACTGATCATTATTGCCATTTCCAGCCTTTTTCCCTTCTCAAGACAATGGGGCTCGGGGCTGAAAATTCTAAGCTGCTACTAATGGCTTGGTCTTTCAGTGACAACTCATCCTGGAGCTGTCCAGGGTCCCACTCAAAGCTGCCTCATTAGAATAAAAGACACTGATCACCCAGGAAACCACATGGTTTCAGGAAGCCTATGTCAAGAGCCTGGGGCAGAGACCAATATATATTTTTTCTATTATTTCACAGCCAGTTTGGGGGCATACTGATGGTATTTCACTGTGTTTTTTTTTCTTTGTTTTTTAAAAGATTTTATTTATTTATTTGACAACGAGAGAGGGAATACAAGCAGGGGGAGTGGGAGATAGAGAAGCAGGCTTCCTGCTGAGCAGGCAGCCCGATGCGGGGCTTGATCCCAGGACCCTGGGATCATGACCTGAGCTAAAGGCAGACGCTTAACAACGAAGCCACCCAGGCGCCCCTCACTGTTCAATGATGATGGTGAGCATCCTTTCACGCGCTTATTTGCCGTCTTAACTGTCTGTTAAAATCTCCTGCTTTTTAAAAACTGGGTTGTCTCCTTATTGAGATGTAACATCCTATGCATTCTGGATTCAAATCCTTAATCATATATGTATATTTTACAAATACTTTCTCTATGTCTACAATTTATCTTCTCATTTTCCAAATAGTATTTTTAGAAGCACAAAAATTTTTAATTTTGATGATGTCCATTTTATCAATTTTTTGATGGATCAAGCTTTTGAGTGTTTTAGTATAAAATCTTGGCCTAATCCAAGATTGTGAAGATTTATTCCTAGGTTTCATAGTTTCATCTCTTACATTTAGGTCGCTGATCCCATATTTTCTTCAGAAAGATTTCCAATTTTACACTTAAATCTATGACCCATTTTTGTGTACAGTATGAACTACAGGTCTAAATGTCATTTTTTAACATACGGGCACCCAACTGTTCCAGCACCATCTGCTGAAGACTATCCTTTTTACTTCAGTATACTCCCTTAGCATCTTTGTCAAAAACTGACCACATAACAGTTTATTATTGACTTGATTCTATTCATTGATCTATCTGTCCATGGCTACAGTTTTATAGTAAGCTCTGAAATGAGATAATTAAAAGTTTTTGTTGCTGTTGTTCTTTTTCAAAATTGTTTTAGCTCTTCAAGGTTCTTTTGCATTTCTGTACAAATTTTAGAGTAAGCCTCTCAACTTCTACAAAGGGACCTACTGAAACTGTGGTAGGGACTGCATTCAGGCTATAGATGATCAATCTGGCTTCCAATCCATACCAATAGCATATCTCTCCATTTATTTGGGCCATCTGTAATTTCCCTAATGTTTCATAGTTTTCAGGGTACAAAAATTTTGAAACAACAATAACTTCTCAAGCTTTCAATCATTTTGAAACAACAATAACTTCTCAAACTTTAAATCTGGTATCAAATCGTAGTAGCAAATCCTGCGAAAATTATTTACGAATCTTTCTGACACAATTTTAAGTTTGCAGTTCCTCACATTCAACAACAGGGTAACAATAAACAAACAACAAAAATCCGTTCTCTTACAAAATTAACAGGTTATAAACCACTCATAAAACTAAGTAGGAAAGGGGTGCTTGGGCTCAGTGGGTAAGCTGCTGCCTTCGGCTCAGGTCATAATCTCAGGGTCCTGTGAGTCCCGCATCGGGCTCTCTGCTCAGCAGGGAGCCTGCTTCCCTCTCTCTCTCTCTCTCTGCCTGCCTCTCCGTCTACTTGCGATCTCTCTCTGTCAAATAAATAAATAAAATCTTTAAAAAAAAAAAAAAAAACTAAGTAGGAAAGAAGTTAATGCCTACATCAAAGACGGAACCTGCTTTGACTATACTACCCCACGATAAGTGTCTGGTAGCAGAAACTAAATACTCAATCCAGTTTTCTTCTCTAACTCCCAACAAACCCAAGAAAATTTCCTAAACGACAGTCATATCCACACACACACACCTCTCTCTCTCTACATGTGTGTATAAAACTTAGTACTGCAAACACAAATACACATCTTCCGTCTTTCTGTCTCGTTTTTATAGCATTTTTGCCTCTAATTATTAATGTCTAAGCTCTCACAGAAGCATATTATCAAATAAAATGGAGTTAGTTAGTTAGGTTCTATTACAGGTTTAAATTATGAAAATTTTTTTTTTTAAACCTTGGAAAGTTGAAAAGTATGAATGTTAACAAAGGCTTTTCCATGAGAAACTCTCATTCAAAATAAAAACATTTCGCATTTCTACCAGAAGCCATGTGCAATTACACGATTTGTAACAGCAAAAACAGAAACTATCCAAATGTCCACTGACAAGAAAAGACGCTATAAACTGTGGTACTTCTTTACTGAATATCAGATATTACTGAATATTACACTATAGTAAAAATGTTTAGTTTTTTACTTTGTAAATGTAATGCTGAAGGGGGGGAAAAAAAACAAGTCCCAGAAGACAATGAGCATATAACTCTGGGCTAAACAACATACTGTTTACACACACACATTTATAATAAAGACTATTTTTAAACAGGCAAAGCAATGATATCCACCAACCTGAGAGGAGCAGTCACAGGGGATAAGGAGTAGAGGGGGCAAGAGGCAGCAGGAAAAGGGAACCATTGCACGTGCTAATCATAAGTAATGCTCTATAGCTGTTGGGATGAACGAAGGGTTTAAACATTTGATAACTCACATTATGTCATCTAATTTTTTCAAAAGCCTAAATATTATGTTAAAATATTAAAAAAAAAACACAAGCAAAACCTATTTTTAAAAATTCATCCATTATAAAACATTTTCAAAAAGCTTAATTGGGCACTAAAGAGAATACATATCAAAAAAAGTTGTTTTAAGTTTTTACCTTTGTTTCTGTTCAATTGCTTTGTCCAAGTGCTGGAAGATATCCTGAAACAGGGTGCAGCTGGATCGACTATTAATAGTATACCCATATCCTCTTTTCCAATATTGCTTCAGATCATTTAAATATTCTAATACCTAAAAATAAAAATTTCAAAAATCATTACTATGACATTAATGTTAACAGATTCCCTGATTTAATGACTCAGAAAAGGTGACATTGTTTAATTACCATTCTCCACAAAGTATAGTAGAATCTTAGCATTCACTGAGTTTATATCTGCATTTTCAGCTTTTAAGAGTTGCCCCAAAAGTCCATGCCATGCAGAGATTTATGATGAAACAAGAACTCGAATTGTGGGAACGTGGGGGCCGGCATGCAAAAGCGAGTTAGTACTCATGGCTGATAACCCAGCATCCACGGACGCTCAGGACAGAGGGCTAAAGATAGGCGCTCACTTCCCCTTGCTGCTAAAATTACTTTCAAGTGATAGCAAAAATACGTACAGGAAAAAAGAGAGAAACAGAAGAATCGTCATTGTACCACAGGAAGATGTGAACAATGGATCAGGAACTTTTAAGAATTTTATAAAGCTAGAAACCAGATAGAAAGCAAGTTACTTTGGTTCATGTATCACTTTTGCAAAAATGGTAATAAAAGTAGATGAAGGATATAGAAAAAGAATGTATACTGGTACAGACATTCTAAAGCGCAAATTGGCAAAATCCATAAAAGCATATATTTCTATAGCCGATTTAATTCCATTTCTTATGAAGTCATAGTCACAGATGAACACAAGACAGCATGTCTAAGAACGTCTTACAGCAGCACTGCTTATAAGGCAGGAGAAAGATTCCTGGAAATACCCAAATTTCATAATAGGCAGATGGTTGACTAAACAATGGTATACACATACTATGGAATACTAGGCAGTTATTTAAAACTTGTATGTTGTAGGGTCTATATGTACTGATACGGACAGATCTCTCCAAGACATACTGAATGAGAAGGGCAGGTTAAGAATAATTACAGTATAATACCATTTATTACCAAGACACGCATACCTACAAACACACATTATACTGTTTACTGTTTTAAGAGTGATATAGATTGGGGCGCCTGGGTGGCTCGGTGGGTTAAGCCTCTGCCTCTGGCTCAGGTCATGATCTCAGGGTCCTGGGATCAAGCCCCGCACTGGGCTCTCTGCTCAGCAGGGAGCCTGCTTCCTCCCCTCTCTCTGCCTGCCTCTCTGCTTACTTATGATCTCTCTCTCTGTCAAATAAATAAATAAAATCTTAAAAAAAAAAAGTCATATAGATTATAAATAGCAGCACTGAAAAGGGCTAAAAGGTACACATTGAACAGACAGCAGGGACTGATCTCTGTGGAGCCTCTTGAATTACAACTGGTGATTAAGGCAGACTTTCTCTGAATGTTAAACTTTGTACTCATGTATCATATGATCAGATAAACACCAAAACCAGAGGACTAAAACATTCCCTGGAGAAAGATACAAGCTGGGCTCCGGCTGTGACTCTTGATCTTGGGGGAGGGGAGGGGAGGGGAGAGTTCAAGCCCCACACTGGGTGTAGAGCTTACCTAAAAATAAAAACAGGTATGGGGGGGGAGGAGTCAAGATGGCGGAGAAGTAGCAGGCTGAGACTACTTCAGGTAGCGGGAGATCAGCTAGATAGCTTATCTAAAGATTGCAAACACCTACAAATCCAATGGGAGATCGAAGAGAAGAAGAACAGCAACTCTAAAAACAGAAAATCAACCACTTTCTGAAAGGTAGGACGGGCAGAGAAGTGAATCCAAAGCGACGGGAAGATAGACCGCGGGGGGAGGGGCCGGCTCCCGGCAAGCGGCGGAGCAAAGGAGCACAAAATTGGGACTTTTAAAAGTCTGTTCCGCTGAGGGACATCACTCCAGAGGCTTAACCGGGGTGAAGCCCACGCAGGGTCAGCGTGGCCTCAGGTCCCGCAGGGTCACAGAAGAATCGGGGGTGTCTGAGTGTCGCAGAGCTTACAGGTATTAGAACGGGGAAGCCGGCTACAGAGACAGAGCCGAGGAGTGAGCTCTAAGCTCGGGGTTACCTTGAACCGGTCGCAGGCTCGGTCAGCTCGGAGCGCGGCCGGAGGCAGGGTGACGGGAGTAAATCGGCGCTGTTCTCTGAGGGCGCACTGAGGAGTGGGGCCCCGGGCTCTCGGCTCCTCCGGGCCGGAGACCGGGAGGCCGCCATCTTCATTCCCGCCCTCCTGAACTCTACGGAAAGCGCTCAGGGAACAAAAGCTCCCGAAAGCAAACCCGAGCGGATTACTCAGCCCGGCCCCTGGTAAGGGCGGTGCAACTCCGCCCGGGGCAAAGACACTTGAGAATCACTACAACAGGCCCCTCCCCCAGAAGATCAACAAGAAGCCCAGCCAGGACCAAGTTCAACTACCAAGGAGTGCAGTTTCAATACCAAGGAGAGCAGCGGAATTCCAAAGGAGGAGAAAGCAAAGCACGGAACTCATGGCTTTCTCCCCATGATTCTTTAGCCTTGCAGTTAATTTAATTTTTTTTCTTTTTCAATTTATTTTTCTTCTTCTGCTAAATTTTTTTAACTTTTACCCTTTCCTTTTTTAATGTTTTTTAACTAGTTTATCTAATATATACATTTTTTTTTCCTTTTTATATTTTTTCTTTATTGGTTTTCTTTTTTTAATTGTTTCTTTCTTTTTTTTTTTTTCTTTTTTTTTTTTTCTTCTTTCTGAACCTCTTTTTATCCCCTTTCTCCCCCCTCACGATTTGGTATCTCTTCTGATTTGGCTAAAGCATATTTTCCTGGGGTTCTTGCCTCCCTTTTAGTATTTCACTTGCTCCTTCATATACTCTTATCTGGACAAAATGACAAGGCGGAAAAACTCACCACAAAAAAAAGAACAAGAGGCAGTACCAAAGGCTAGGGACCTAATCAATACAGACATTGGTAATATGTCAGATCTAGAGTTCAGAATGACAATTCTCAATGCTCTAGCCGGGCTCGAAAAAGGAATGGAAGATATTAGAGAAACCCTCTCTGGAGAGATAAAAGCCCTTTCTGGAGAAATAAAAGAACTAAAATCTAACCAAGTTGAAATAAAAAAAGCTATTAATGAGGTGCAATCAAAAATGGAGGCTCTCACTGCTAGGATAAATGAGGCAGAAGAAAGAATTAGTGATATAGAAGACCAAATGACAGAGAATAAAGAAGCTGAGCAAAAGAGGGACAAACAGCTACTGGACCATGAGGGGAGAATTCGAGAGATAAGTGACACCGTAAGACAAAACAACATTAGAATAATTGGGATTCCAGAAGAAGAGGAAACAGAGAGGGGAGCAGAAGGTATATTGGAGAGAATTATTGGAGAGAATTTCCCCAATATGGCAAAGGGAACAAGCATCAAAATCCAGAAGATTCAGAGAACCCCCTTCAAAATCAATAAGAATAGGTCCACACCCCGTCACCTAATAGTAAAATTTACAAGTCTTAGTGACAAAGAGAAGATCCTGAAAGCAGCCCGGGAAAAGAAGTCTGTAACATACAATGGTAAAAATATTAGATTGGCAGCAGACTTATCCACAGAGACCTGGCAGGCCAGAAAGAGCTGGCATGATATATTCAGAGCACTAAACGAGAAAAACATGCAGCCAAGAATACTATATCCAGCTAGGCTATCATTGAAAATAGAAGGAGAGATTAAAAGCTTCCAGGACAAACAAAAACTGAAAGAATTTGCAAATACCAAACCAGCTCTACAGGAAATATTGAAAGGGGTCCTCTAAGCAAAGAGAGACCCTAAAAGTAGTAGATCAGAAAGAAACAGAGACAATATACAATAACAGTCACCTTACAGGCAATACAATGGCACTAAATTCATATCTCTCAATACTTACCCTGAATGTTAATGGGCTAAATGCCCCAATCAAAAGACACAGGGTATCAGAATGGATAAAAAAACAAAACCCATCTATATGTTGCCTACAAGAAACTCATCTTAAACCTGAAGACACCTCCAGATTTAAAGTGAGGGGGTGGAAAAGAATTTACCATGCTAATGGACATCAGAAGAAAGCAGGAGTGGCAATCCTTATATCAGATCAATTAGATTTTAAGCCAAAGACTATAATAAGAGATGAGGAAAGACACTATATCATACTCAAAGGAATTGTCCAACAAGAAGATCTAACAATTTTAAATATCTATGCCCCTAACGTGGGAGCAGCCAACTATATAAACCAATTAATAACAAAATCAAAGAAACACAACAACAATAACACAATAATCGTAGGGGACTTTAACACTCCCCTCACTGAAATGGACAGATCATCCAAGCAAAAGATCAACAAGGAAATCAAGGCCTTAAATGACACACTGGACCAGATGGACATCACAGATCTATTCAGAACATTTCATCCCAAAGCAACAGAATACACATTCTTCTCTAGTGCACATGGAACATTCTCCAGAATAGATCACATTCTTGGTCCTAAATCAGGTCTCAACCGTTATCAAAAGATTGGGATCATTCCCTGCATATTTTCAGACCACAATGCTCTGAAGCTAGAACTCAATCACAAGAGGAAATTGGAAAGAACCCAAATACATGGAGACTAAACAGCATCCTTCTAAAGAATGAATGGGTCAACCAGGAAATTAAAGAAGAGTTGAAAAAATTCATGGAAACAAATGATAATGAAAACACAACGGTTCAAAATCTGTGGGACACAACAAAGGCAATCCTGAGAGGAAAATATATAGCGGTACAAGCCTTTCTCAAAAACAAGAAAGGTCTCAGGTACACAACCTAACCCTACACCTAAAAGAGCTAGAGAAAGAACAAGAAAGAAACCCTAAACCCAGCAGGAGAAGAGAAATCATAAAGATCAGAGCAGAAATCAATGAAATAGAAACCAAAAAAACAATAGAACAAATCAACAAAACTAGAAGCTGGTTCTTTGAAAGAATTAATAAGATCGATAAATCCCTGGCCAGACTTATCAAAAAGAAAAGAGAAAGGACCCAAATAAATAAAATCATGAATGAAAGAGGAGAGATCACAACTAACACCAAAGAAATACAGACAATTATAAGAACATACTATGAGCAACTCTA